ATGATGAAAAATGACACATACTATAGTATGTGTCATTTTTCATCATTTTGGAAGTCATACTATAGTATGTGTCATTTTTCACCAGTTTGGAAGTCATACTATAGTATGTGTCATTTTTCATCATTTTGGAAGACATACTATATAGTATGTGTCATTTTTCATCAGTTTGGAAGTCATACTATAGTATTTCCTATAACTTGTCTTCTTCTACATTTAATAACTTCAAACTTCTAGATTAGCATAATTTCAGGACTTTGTGTTCAGAAGAAATTCGTGAAAAATCATCATGAAAAAATAGTTTGTCAGTGTGGAACACGCAATTCTGACACGTGTTACTCTGAGCATTTAGAAAGTAGAATACGTTTTATATAATTTCAAAAACTAAACAGGAAGTACCATGTTTGTCCAAGCCCGAAAATTTATTTTAAAAAAATGTATTTTTTTAGACTCTTCAGTAGCAAATAAAATATTTAATTTCCCCGTTCTTTTTAAGTCTCATGCTGTGGGTTCCAAAGTCCTCAGCTTCTGACCCAGCATCAGAGGCGTGTGACCTCAAATATTGTTATTTATTAAAATTTTTATGACATTCAAAGTCCAAACCGCTTTAAGTATGAAACCATTTTTAAAGTAAGATTAATGCAATTATTTTTGTAACAATATGATCGAAATATACTTTTAATTATTTACATTTTCTTGATTCCTAAAGATAATGAGGACCCCCCATGTTGGTGTTTTTGGATACACAACGGGGTCCTGAGCCCCACATTGAGACGTTTTTTGCAAAGAAATGTAACCGTTTGGTGCATTTGGAGTAAAGGTGAGGCTTTCAGACCTAAATTGCACCAACTGTGGAGCACAGTGGTGGTAGTATCATACTGTGGGGCTGTTTATCTGTCATTTGTACTGAAACAACACACTATAATTTCTATGGGAGAGGGGCCCCAAGATGACCTACTTTAACCCAAGTTATTATCTGAACTGTTATAAAGTTGTCATTCTGTGCTATAGATTTACCAGTAAAAACATTTTTTATGTAATGGTTTCACTTTCTTCAAACAAGTCCAAAGATCCAGAATTCACTCCCGCTTAAAAACCTTTTATTAAAAGATTTGAACACAAACGTGTCAGCAGTAACAGCGTGTCCCTTTTCCAAGAAGAAAACATATTTTTTTAATGCACCAGTAGCATTTTAAAAAGAGTAAATACTTTGTCCCATTTGGTCTAAAGTGAATCAACAGGCTGCCAACCAATACTCTTAATTACTTCGTAAAACAAAAGTGTTATGTTCTGAATTAAAAATAAACAAAACTACTTGAATGATTCCTGGCCCAAACCACCGTTACATTCTTATGTACAGCCCTTTACAGTTATTTACAACGTAAGAGAATCAGAAAGAGGGAACTGCACAAACAGATGGTGGGCGATCGAACGGATTCTTCTGAACTATAAATTAAGTCACACCTGCTTTAATTGGATGGATTTAATCAGAAACCACAGATTCTGTAATGGAGTAACATACGTGGGAAAAAAACGCAGTACCACAGGAGGATGACAGCATCAACTGGAAATTTAGAACAAACTCACATCCAGCTGAGAATGTGTACAAATATCACTATTATCATCATATTTGAAGAAAAATCAAACTTTCTAAAGAAGGGGAGTAAAAATAAGAGGGAATGTTAAAGTACAGAAACGGCTCTGTGCTCTGGTTTTGTGCATAAAATCAGATTAGAAGCGTCTCGTTACATCTGAACCACACACCACCGTCCTGAGAGCTACCATTGCAACAAAACCCACCATTAAACAACACTTTAACCTGCTGCAGTGCTTCTTTTCTTTACTGGTCTTGATTGAACATCCCTGCCATATTTGCTGATTACTGAGCAACAGCTCGAGAGAAAAAAAAAAAAGGTTTGGATGGAGGATTTAGCACAACACTGAAACTTGGAAGCATTATTTTTACTCTTTGAATTATAAATTAAGAATATATAAAGTATTAACTGGCATCGATTTGGGGTGTTTAGACATTATGCACCTTCATCTGGAAGAATAATGTTCAAACCTGAAGGCACATTAACTCTATTTGCCAAAACATTTCAATATATCTCATTTCCCTTCTTAACGTGTAGATGAAAATGTCGCTCCTTTACGTCTTATCTGCTTAAATCCACTTCATGAAGACCAAATATTACAAACAAAAATCAGCAGACTCCACAAACTTTGGCAGAAAGATTAACTACTATAAAGTGCATTGTGTGTGTGCAGACGATCCATCCCAGCCTTCTTTCGTTGGATATAAATTATATTCATGGCTTGAGTTGGACACGCGTCTTCTTCGTCAGGTTACAGGTATCCACCGAGGCACATGAGCAGCAGAACGTGCACAGTAAGCAGGTAGAGACTGAGCAGCAGAGGGGTTCGCTGACGGGAGCAGAAGACCACTCGGAGCATCCGCATCAAGCCTGGACCTCTCCGAGTCTGCGAATATACAAACGCAAGGTTATGACAGGCACCTGGCTCGAGGTTTTAATAATGCTGGTGGTGCAGAACGCGAGCGGCTCCTCACCCGAGTGACGGCTCCTTCAGGCGGCTCGATAAAAACAGCGGTCTCCGAGTGATCCTCCTCGTGCGCAGAGTGCCATGAAGCCTGACTGTGACTGAGAAGAAAACTTAACGTTAGAGGATTGACTGAAGGGACGGGTTTATCACAGCTGGAAAAAAAAGTTTATTTTAGTATCAACATTACAGATGGTTACAAAACCTTGGTGAAAACATAATCTACTAGAAGTTTCTCAAATTTCTAAACTAGGGCTGGGTGGTATCTCGATTTAAAAAATATCAAGGTAATTTCATACGCAATAAGATGGACTATATCGATATTTCTACGCTGCGTTATAATTACACTTGAAAATCAGAATTTAACAAGATTAACACTTAAAAACAATTATTTGTTTACTCAAAATTATAGTAAATGTGTGTCTCAGTCTAACTTTTACTTTATGAATGCTCTTCAATGGTCAAATTAGCTGCATGTCACCGGTTTGACTGTTCAAAGCAGTGAGCGGAACAAAGGTGGCAGGCTATGGCAAGCTGATTGCGTCATTAATAGCTTGTAAAGATTCTCAGTCATCCAGGATATGGTAAATTTAAAAAAGTTCAAGACAAAAACAATAAAGTATAATAAATAGAGACCAGTTGTTTTTGTCTTGAACTTTTTTGAATTTGTCATTATAGCCAGGTTTACCTTTTACATGATACAACGGCATGCTGTACTGCTACTACTACTCTGCTGCCATCTAGTTGCTGAAAATGGTAGTGCTATATATATATTTTTGTCAGAATGAATTAAAATGGTTATATCTCAGCCAAAAATCAGTTTATAAATATGGGGGAAAATCCATAAATATGTTGCTTTGGCCTACAAGTCGCAGGGCATGTAAATTATGCAAAAAAACTGTGACTTAAAGGGTGAAAAATATGGTAAATTCTCTGTTATGTACACCAGGTTGTTGTTTTTATCTCTGAGTGGTGTTACAAAGCACTCATCTTGTAATCGCTCTGAATTCAAATCCCAGCAGCGATGTTCTTGTGTCGTACCGTTTGAGTCGATCCTGCGTCGCCATCAGCTGCTCCTCAACTGCCAGCCTCTGCTGAGTTTCTTCCTCGAGTCTAATTTATAGAAGTTAAAAATGAGCATCCGTTTCTACAAATCAATTTAATTCTTATATCCGATACAAATGGTACCTCTGCTGGAGCTCTTTGACTTCAGCTATATAGACGTGGCTGCTTCGTTCCTGTGGGGCTCCAGGAGCACTATCCACTTCATCGTTCTGTGGGGAAATGCTTATAATTAACCATTATCCACACGATTTATCTTTTCAGTAATTGCACAGTTTGAAACCTGTTCTAATAATTTAAGTCCCACCTCTCTCTGAAAGCGTTCCTGTTGGAGTTTGGGTTTCTGAGCTCGAGTTTCTTCCAACATGGCGGTGAGCTGTCGCAGTTGTTGGTCTTTCTCTGTTAGCGTGCTGAGCGTCTGCTGCTTCAGCTGCTCCACCTGAGACATCCAGTCGATGCGCTCCAGTCTAAAGAAACAAATTAATAGAACGTAAGGTTTTTGTCCTTCAAACTAAAAGTAGCTTTTTTTAAATTATTTTATTTTAAGTGTCACCTTAGTGTCTCCATTTCCTGCTCGCCCACTTCAACCACATTCTCCAGCTGCGAGATGACGCCCAGCATGTCTTCATTCTTCTTCTTCTCCTCAAACAGCTCCTGACTGACTTTAATCAGCTCTCCTGCTCCCAGTCGAGCCAGCTCTGACTTCTGCTTCTTCACCTCAGTGTTCTGTGTTTCAATTTGCTCCAGCTGCAAATAAAAACAGAATGAAGACGGGATCAAATGTTTAAAAAAAGTAACTTCTTAGAAGAGTTAGCCGTCCATCAGCTGGCTCACCAGTCTCTCCCTGTCGTTCTGCAGAGCTTGCAGTGCGTTCTTCAGGCTCCACACCTCTCCAGTTGAGCCTCCGGGGCTGCTGTGTGCTGACTGGCCACCTGCCTTGCTAACCTCCTCCAGTTTCAGGCTCAATTCGTTGACCTTGGTTTCCGCCTGATCCCTGGCATCCTGCAGGGAGGCCATGGCGTTAGCAAACGACTGGTTTTCTGCTCTCAGCTGCTTTGTCGTCTCAGTCTCCTCCAGCAGCCTCTGTTCCACCGTCAGCAGGTCTCGAGCCAGCTCTGCCACCCTCTCCTGAGCGTTCTCCGACTCTGTGCGCATCACCCCTCCTTCCCAGCGAAGCTCAGCCAACTCTTTGCTCTTGTTTTCCTGCTCTTGTCTTTCCCTGTTCAGCGACTCCTCCAACTCCTCCCTTTGAGCTCTTTCTTTCTGCAGCTGCTCCCTCAGCTTCTCAACTTCTGCACCGGGAGCGTCTACCACCTGAGAGGCCATGACATTAGAAGCTTGACTAAGAGTCTCACTCTCTACTCTCTGCACCTCTTCTTCTCTGGCTCTGCTCAGACTCTTCAACTGACTGTCCAGCTCCTCACGTTCCTTTTCTAAAGAGACGATCTTTGATCTCTGGGCTGCCAGGAGCTGTTTGTGTTGGGAGTCCTTCATGCTTAAAACCTGGTTGAGTTCTTCTCGGTACCCGTGAAGCTGAGCAGACAGTTTGGCCTTCTCAGCGTAAAGGTCGTCTCTCTGGACCAGCAGAGAGCGCAGCTCCTCTTTTAGACTGTTGTTCTCTGCTGCCGCCTCTTGGATCAAACCATCTTTCTCCACCATTACCTGAAAAGCAAAAGAAACTCCATAAAACAAGCTCAAACATGTTCTACACATGTTCAACCAAACATGTTCATGCATTTCCTCACTCGCTCTCATGCAAGGTGGATGCCTTTCTTCCCTCTCCCGTCGTCCTCCTGCTTTTTTTGCTCTCCGTCTTGTGTCGAAGCTCCTACTTACACATCTTCTGAATCGTAAAATGCTGTCATGGATCTGGTTAGCTGGACTTTCAATGCAATTGATACAATTTTATCAACGAAGCAGCAGGGTCCTGGAGAACCCTCATGCCCCGCTGACACGCACACGGCAGGATATGTCATGGATCTGTGGAAAGTTTGGAAGCTGATGCGTCTTTCTGTATTATCTCAGGAGGACGTTGAAGATGTTTATATCATTGGAATCATGATAGCTCTGCTTTTCGGCACCGGCACATTCGTGTGTTATCGACTATTAAAGAAGACAGCGGCGGCAGTTTTGGTCATGGCAAAACTGCAGAGTCTGCATGAAGGTTTGGTTTGTGCTTAGAGTACTCAAAATCAGCTGATTTGCGAGCTAAACTGTAAGATGGAAGTGATTTGTGAGAATCCCAGGCCACTTACGGCTTCTGGGATTCGCCAGCATGTTGGGGATGACCTTAGAGGGAGCTAATAAGCACAGACCAGTGAAATGCCCACTAATCCGGCCATTTTAGGTCAAAAGTACCAGCAGAACTCAAGGCTGATGAGAATTAACAGTCTGTCTAAAAAAAATAAAAAAATCAACAACTGTGGCTTATCTGAAACTGACTCCCCCATTTGGCCTTGAAGCAGGCCGACATGTCAAATTTCTCCTGGGATATGTGTAAACTAAGAAAGCTTTGTCTATTGCGCTCTTAGGAGCAACAGCAACCCCACCCATCTTTCGGACGACTGAACGAACATAATCTCACCGTATTTCAGTATAATGATGAGTACACGGACGTCTGCACCTCTGGATGCAGGGGGAGGGCCACCTGCATCGTGGGGGCCCCCACTCACCCAGCACACACACTTTTTGCCCCACTCCCCTCAGGAAGGAGATTGGGGGGCATTGAGTGTAGAACCACTGGACTGAGGAACAGCTTCTACCCTGAGGCTGTTACTCATTAATCTCTAACCAGAATAAATCACTGAAAAAAAATCGCATCATGTTGCTGCTGATCTGTTTCAATGTTGATGTGTTCGTGCATGCTCATCTGCTCACACAGACTCGTGTTCATGTTCGTGCTGCTGTTCAATGTAATGTTTTTATGTTATGAGTGCTTAGTGTATATTTAGTTGATGTTTTTCTTAGTTCATATCTTAGATATTACTGTTTTTCTTATACATTTTATTGTTGGATGTAACTGGGACCCTGTGTACATAATTTCGCTCCACCACATGTACCACATGAGGTGCGAATGACAATAAAGAAACTCTGACTCTGATAATAAAGCTGATTCTGGTTACCTGTATGTGTTTCTCCTCCAGTTGCTTGTACAGGCTGAGGACTCTGTCTCTGTCTTCCTGTAATGAACCCATGGCTTTCATAAAAGAGTCCAGCTTGGTTTTGCTGCTGTCCCTCTCTTCCTCTGCTTTCCATAGTTTTTCATCCAGATCCCGCACTTCTCCTCTTCTCTGCTCCAGCTCCTTCTCAGCTTCTTGTGCCCTGCTGTCTGCCTCTTTTCTAGCCTCTTCTGCAGCCTTGAGGAAAATTATTGTTGTTTTAAATCGCAAAATTTAACTTTTTAGAAGAAGGACTCATTTAAATACCTGTGCAACAGCTTGTTCCTTCTCTCCCAGCAGTTCCACTTCCCTGCGCTCCTTCTCGTGTAGCTCTGTCTGTAAGCTCTCCGTCAAAGTTTTGGATGAACGCAGGTCCGTCTCCAGCTGCTCCACGCTCAGACACAGCTCTTCTGCCTTCTTCTCCCTCTCCCTCAGCTCAGTCCTGGCCTGGTCAACTTCACCCTGCAGTCTACTGACAGCCTCTTCCAGAGCCCGAAATCTTTGATGCAAACTCTCAGCTTCATTTTTTAGCTCGTGGGCTTCATTTTGAGCAGATAGCAACTCAGCTGTCGTTTGGTCGAGCTTCATCTTTTCCTGCTCTAAAGCAGCTTGTTGCTCTATGACTTTCTTTGCTTCTTCCTCCAACCTCAGCTGCCAATCGTTGTTATCTTTCTGTAATCTAAAAACAGATATAGTTTTAGCTTATGTTCAAAATGTTAAACATGAACAGTTTAGGGAAACAGACGATCTTAAAAAGATGTTACCTGCTGACAGAAAGTTCAAGCTCCTCCTTCAGCGCAGTCTCTTTCTGAAGCTGATCTGCGAGATCCCTGGCTCGTGCTTCGGCCTCGTTAACTTCGGCCTTTTTCCCCTGCAGAGCGCTGTTGAAACGAGACTCCCACTGCCGCGCCTCGTCCAGAACTCTGTCCCGATCATCTTGCAGGGAGGACATGCTGCGAGAGAAGGCAGCTAATCTGGCCAGAGACTCGTCCAGACGGGTCTGCGTCTCCCGGGCTCGTCTCTCTGCAGCCTCCGCAGCCTTTCTGGCTTCCAGAGTAGCCTCCTCCTCTTTTTCTCTTTCTGTGTACGCCTCCTCCAGTCTCAGCTCCATCTCCTTCAGCTCAGCTCCCAGCCTGAACCTCACAGAGTCAAGCGTTTGCTCTGCCTCAGCTTTCAGCATGGCCTCCCTCTGTTGGATGTTTTGTTCAGTGGCAGTTCTGGCAGCTTCGGCCTCGCCTGCCCGTTTCTGGGCTTCGGCTAGTTGAGCTTTACAGCTGACCATGTCTGCTTCAGTCCTTCTCAGCTCCTCCAAAGTTTTGGAACTCTCCAGCTGTGATTGTGCTAGTTTGCTGTGGAGCTCATCCTGACCCAGCTGAAGGGCCTTCACTTCTTTGCACAGTTCGCTGATCTTTTCCTGGAACTGGATGCTGTCCTTCTGTAGCTGCCGCACTTCCAGCTGCTTCTCCCTCAGCAGCTCCTCCAGCTGCCGCGCTCGGCTCTGGCTGCCTTCTCTCACCCTCTGGGCAGACCTCAGCTGCTGCTCCAGCTCCCGCTGCTTCCCAGACGCCGCTTCGGCTTCGGCTCGTTCCCGCTGGGCTTGCCTCAAGTCCTCCTCCAGCCGGGCAGCTCGCTCCCTCGTGCTCCGAGCCTCAGCGTCCAGCTCCGCCCGCTCCCTCTCCAATCTCTCCACCTCCCGCTGCAGGTCGCTGAGGTGCTCTCGATGGTCCGCCGCCTCTTGCTGGTAGCTGGCGATGCTGCCATTGAGCTGAGCCAGCTGATTCATCAGACGCTCTTCTAGATTGTCTTTTTCACTTTCAAGTGTTTGGAGGAGTTCTTTGAACTGGGCTTCCCTCTTTGCAGCCTCTTCAATCAGGCCCTGTTCTCTCGCTTTGCTCTCTTGAAGGCACTTCTCTAAAGAGGCCGAAAGACTCTCTCTGTTTTCACTCTCCTGAAGATCACGCTGTAGACGGGCTAGTTCAGCTTTGAGTTCAGCTTCTCGTTCCTGCCACAGCTCCTTTTCTGCATTAAGAGCCTCAATCTCATTCGTTTTTATTTCCAGTAAAGTTTGAGCATTGCCAGTGATTTCTGCTTCTTTCTCCTCTGCAGGTTGAACATGTATTGTTGCAGATGCTGCAATTTGTTCCTCTGCAGTGTCTTCTGGAGTTAAGAGTTTCTTCTTTTCTTTATGTGGACTCTCAACAGGCTCAGCTGCAGTTATGACTGCATCAGTTTGCTGCACAACAACCTCCTCTACAGCTTCAGAGCTGCGTTGATTTTCTGACGTTTCTCGATTCCTTTCCACCGTTTGCGCAAGCTGATTATTCAGATCTTCATTCTGCTGCCTTAAAGTGTCCAGTTCAGCTTCCAGAGCTCCCACCTGCTCCTGAAGCTGTCTAACTTCAGCTCTCATGGCCTTCTCCTCTTTTTTACTCACAAACATTTCCTCCACCTCTCGAAGTTTCTCGTTCTCCTCCTCCAGCTCCAAGATTTTCTGCTGCTTTGTTTTAACAAACTTTCTCATTTTGTCTTTCACCAACTCCACCTCTTTCTGGGCGTCCTCCGCTCGTCTTTCGGCTTCGTGTCTCGCACCTTCGTGAGTTCTCACCTTGGCTGCCAGCTCCTGTCTCTCCTGCCGGGCAGCTTCCAGGACTTTCCTCACTCGCTCCGCCTCATCGCTCACGTTCTCATAAGACTTGAGCAGAGTCTCATACTCCTCCTTCATCCCTTTCACTTTGTCCTCCCACTCTCTGCACACTCTTGCAGCCTCTTCTTTCGCCAGCTCCACTTCTCTCTTAAAGGCGTCTTTTTCACTGATCATGCCCTCCATCGCCAGCTTGAGGCTCTCGCAGGAGCATCCTAAGCTTTGGTTCTCCAGTAATGCCCGATCAACCTCATCAATAAGTCTCGCTTTTTCAGTTCGTAGGTTCTCCAGCTCATCTTCTGACGAGCTGATTCTCTGCTGCAGCTCAGCTACGATCTTTTCAGCTGAAGCTAGCTGCTCTTTCAGGGTTTTGTTTTCTTTTAGAGCCTCTTTGCGCGACACCAAAGCAGCTTGAAGCTTTCGTTGAAGCTGCTGGGTCTTTGCCTCACCCCCTTCCTCTTTTTGTAGAAGCTCAGCCTCTAGATTCTGTGTTTTTTCTTGCTCAGCCTTCATTTCCGTTTGTAAAGACGCTATAAGCTCATCTTTCTGAGACACAGTGTCGTGCATTGAGTGTATGAGCGAGTTCTGCTCGCCAAGCTGCTGACTGAGCTCCGTTATCTCCTGGTTCTTGTTGTCGAGAAACTGCTTGAAGTCTTCCACTTCAGCCTGCAGAGCTGTAATGGAAGAGTCTGCGTATGTTCTGGCTGCAGCTTCCAGCTCTGATTTCAAAGTCTCTGCGTACGACTCAGCTTGGTGATGCTTTTCTCTGAGATCATCAATTTCTTCGGACAGCGTGTGAATCTGACTTTCCTTTACCTTCAGCTCTTGTAGCTCTTTGCTCATCTCCAGCAACTGAGACTCCTTCAGAGACAGACTTGAATGCGTTTCCTGTAGCTGCTTCTCCAGTTCGGCGTTTGCGAGTCGCACGGTCTCGAGCTCCTCCCGAAGAGCTTTCAGAGATTCTTCCATCTCTGTTGAAAGAACGTCAGAAGGTTTAGCAGGAGGCTGAACTGGATCCTTGAACTGCGGCTGTGATGAATCATTTTCAGTCGACACAAAATCCACCCAGTCCTCTTGGACCCAGTCGTTTGCAGCAGACTTCGTTTCAGGCTCTTCTTGGGGCAGATCTTCTCTGGCAGAGCTGATTTTTTCTTCTAGTTCTCCGAGTTTTGTGAGAAGAGCTTCTTGTTTGCCGCTCTGCGCCTCATAGCGTTCCAGCAGCTCGCTGTGCTCCTCTTTCTGCTGCTTCATTTGCTCACGGTGGTGTCGGTCCTTCTCTTTGGCTTTGCGGATGGTTTCTTTGCGGGATTCTTGGGCCTCAAGAACCTTCTTCTGAAGCGCTTCACATTCTGCTTCAAGAGCAGCAACTTGGGATTGTAATGCAGTCGTTTCAGAGGACATATCAGCCTGCTGAGAGCGTTCAGCTTCTTCACTTTGTGTTTTATTCAGAGAAATCATCTCGGTCAGAACGTTATCCTGATGAATAATTTTCTGCTCAAGAGTCTCAATCGTTTCTTCTTTGGACTTTAAAGCTTCTTTAAGCTCCAGAAGTTTGGCCTCCATTTCTTGATCATCATGTTCTTTAGTTTCCTCTTGCAACTTTTCAGGACTTTCTCTCGCCATCGTTTCATCGTTTTCTTTTAATTTACGAGTTTCCTCCTCAAACTCGCTGACCTTCTTCATGAGCTCCTTGCGTTGCACCAGTGCTGCCTGCAGCTTCTTCTTCGTGCTCGTCAGCTGAGCTTCCAGATCTTCCTTTTCTTTTCTCAAACCAACGAGTTCCTCCTCTGCATGAGCTGGTTCAGGTGTCGCCTGCGGTTCATCGTCTCCGACTTTCTTGAGCTCCACAATCTGCTCCTTCAGTTTACTCACTTCAGCTTTGATGTGAAACTTCTCTTCTTCTGCTTGAAGGAGCTTGGCAGACATGCTGTCGCTGAGCTCCGTCACCTCCTGCTCCTTCTGGCTGAGGCGAAGCTGCAACTCGTTGTTGAGCTCTGAAGCCTGCGAGTATTCCAACATGCTGCTGTCCATATCTTGAAGCCTTTTCTCCAGCTCAGAGCAGAGGAGCTCTCTGTCCTCCAGCTGGGCACTCAGCATCCTGGCCTCACTCTCCTGCTCAAACAGAGACTTCTGCACAGCCTGGATCGTTTGCTCTTTGGCTTTATTTTCACCGTTTAAAATATCGATCTGCTCCTCTAGAAGCTGCATTTCGACTTTATGTTTCTCCACCGCAGAGCTATTTTGCTGGGCATGGTTCTCCAGCTCCTCTCGAGCAGACTCGAGCTCTCTGGAGAAGTTACTGGCCTGAGCCTCAGCCTCTTCTTTGGCAACAGTGAGGGACTGCGCTTCCTCTTCAAGACTCTTGATTTTCTCCTGCGACTCTGCAGCTGCACTTTGGAGCCTCTGCAGCTCAGCCAGGAGTTCGCTGTATCTCTTCTGCAGCTCCTCGGCTAAGGCCTGAGCAAAAGCATGTGAGGACACGTTGATATCTGTGGAGGAGGAACTCTGCTCAGTCAGGTGGACCTGAACGGTTTCTCTGATGATGACGGATGAGGACTCGGTGTGGACTGTGGAGACTTCCTGCTCCATGCTTGTTGCCACCCATGACTGGACACAGTCCTGTGGGACTGAGGGCCACTCCTGACCCACGTCTTGATTCACAGCTTCCAGGAGGGTCCAGCTGTTCTGCACCACCTCTGAATCGCTGCTGGTGACCATCTCATCCGAGGATGTTGCTTTTAATTCTTCAGGAGACTCAGGCTGGTGTGCGATTAGCTCTGGGCTGCTCTCGTTATCAGCAGGAATAGAAAGGACAGAGGTGTCTGCAGCAACTAAGGCGGTTTCTTCTTCTTGTGTGTCGTCCATGAAATCAGACGGAGCAGCAGAACCTTGAGCAGGAGCAGCATCATCCTGATCTGGGCTCTGAGCAGAGTTTTCAGCTGAAACAGCTTCCCCGTAGCCTTGTGCTGACGGTTTCAAGGATTCTCGTAAGGCAACCAGCTCGTTGTCCTTTTCTAACAGCTGCTGCTCCAACTCCAGTATGTGTGCTGCAAAAATCAACAGGAAATAATCGAGCAGTAATTAATTTTAGTTTCATGTACATAGAAAATTCATACTAAACAATTTTACATAATCGAGAACAAGTTGGAATCAATGGCAACTTTATGCTCATAAAAAATAAACATCAGTAAAATGTGTTCAACATAACGGTACTTCTTCCAGTTATTTAACTGTCAACAATGGTGTACCACAAGGCTCAGTCTTCGGACCCACTCTCTTTACAATCTACAAAAGTAATGTAGTTCAGATCATCCCTGGGGCATCCTTGCATTTCTATGCCGACGATACAGTTGTATATTGTCGAGCTAAATCCATTGCTTTGACGTCATCCAGTCAGATTTGTTCCATCTCAAACTGGTGCTAAATGCTGATAAAACCAAAGGGATGTTTTCAAACAGGAAGTCGGTACCAGCAGTCCTTCATTCCATCTTATCCATGAATGGCGTTCCTACGGAGTTTGTTGATTCTTACAAAAACATTGGAATTTTGGTCGACTCACATCTCCTTTAAGCCTCATATCAAAACTTGATAAAGAAATTTAAATTAAAACTGGTTTATTTTTTAGAAATAGATCTTGTTTAACTCTGAATGCTAGGAAACACCTTGTAACTGTGACTTTCCTTCCCTCCATTGACTACGCCTACGGTGACATTATTTACATGAACGCTCCTACAAGCACCCTGCAGATGTTGGACACCGTCTACGAACATTGTCTATGAACATTGTCTATGAACATTATTACCGATATTGTTTATCTTATTTCTTTATATATTGTTTTGAACATTTAGGAACTTTTGTGTGAAATCTTTTTATCTGTTGCTGCTGTTACACTTGAATTTCCCATCCGTGGGACAATAAAGGCTGTTTCTATTCTATTCTATTCTATTCTATGAAGGTGTGCCAAGATTCAGAACTGGCTGTAACTATCATACCCACCACTGCACCCTGTATTCACTGGTTAACTGGACATCATTAACTTCACACAGACTTTTCCACTGGTACATTTTCATATTTAAATCACTTCTCGGTCTGTTGCCTTCACACATCTCCTCCTACATGTCACTTCGTCAGTGCAGCTACAGCGTGCGCTCTCAGGACATTATTACCTACAGTGTCCCCTCAATGTGGACCAAACTTGGCAAACGGGCCTTTTCTTACTCTGCTCTTGTAATAAATTGCAGACGGACCTGAAGCTCGAGACTCGACCTCACTAAGGGATTTTAAACATCTGTTAATTTCAAAGCAAAAATCAACGCAGACATGTTCCTGTTTTTAGCATTTCACCCCATTTCATAATGTAGCATGTTTTTGTTTCGTTTTATATCGCTACTTTTATTTACTTTTCATTTTTATTGTTGTGTGTACCTGATCTGTGGTTTGTCTAGAACAGGTCTCTCTTGTAAATGAGCCCTTGTGACTCAATGAGACTAAACTGTATAAAAAGGTTGAATGAAAAAAGTTTTACCCAAACTAAGACAGATTTGAACATATTCAGTCATCTGCTCAGTTTAATCTGTACATTGTAATTACAGTCGTCCCTGCTATATTGTGTTTTTTTACATTGCGTGTACATGCCGTGCAGTACTGCACATTCATCTCATAATTATCATCTTGATCACCAAAGTGTTTAAGAGCATATGAAGTGTTTATAAGAGTCATTATTCCTGCCTTCTGTTCACCACGCCCACCTGCTCAGCATAATTCTTCTCACCTGGTGGCTGTAGCGTTTAATCGCTCCCATTCTCTATTCGGTGCCAGATTATTGAAAGCCTTGGGCAAGTAAATGTCCAGCGATTATCTCCTGTTCCTGACTGATCCCCTCATCCTGACCAAGTTTCTGTGCCCTGGATTCTCCTGTGTCACCTTGCCCCTGTTGGACGTCTGCCAAGCTTCTGATTTCTGAACAACTTTTTTTCTGTGCCCCGACCTCAGAATATTTCCTGAACCTCAGATAAAGTAGTTTGAAGCCAGTCTTTCTGTGTACGACCCTTGCTTGTTTTCTGTCTAACCCATCGAGTTCTGGACAGATCCAAACTAAGCAACAACTCCACTCAGGACTCTGTTCTCGCGGTGACGTCATTGCTCTCGCGGTGACGTCATTACTCTCTCCATCCGCCCAATCCTCCACCTGGGGAAGTGAGTTTAACCACTGGATCAAGTCCCCCGATCTAAGCTCTAAAAGAGGGTTAGCGTTTCTTTTTCTCAGAACTCTGTTCAAGCTCCCAGTCTTTCCACAACCTCATCCTCTCCCTCCTCAGAGTTTCCAGTGCACTTCCACAGACGTGTGCTGACTTCCACCAGTCTTTTCAAAATAAAACTTATTGCATCTGATTGAATTTTCAGGTCCTCCGCTACAGGGGAAGGTTAATAAGAGAATGGGAAAGGTTTGCAGGAGTGTGGAATTTATAAAGCCTTATTTATAAATAAATAAAATACAATAAATATAACACCGCTACTTGGCAGATTTTCACCCATTGTGGGGGTCTCTGGAACATAACCCCTACAATAAGTGAGGGATCACTGTATAACACATGGCTAAATGAAACTTAGAAGGATAATAAATCAATTTTACTTTCTTAGACAATCTGTTGTAAGATTATTTTATGTTTGTGAACCTAAAAATGTTAAAATAAAAAAAATAAAAAAATAATAATATATATATATATATATATATATATATATATATATATATATATATA